GGGCTGTTGCTTCACACAACATTGAGTGGATATCCAACCTCCATGGGTCAGGGTGATGCAGCTCATGGTTTGGAAAAATTAGCTCTAGACAATGATAGCTCTCTCTTGTGTTTCTTCTCGATCTTCTATTTTCATGTCTCCATTCAGGGATAGTTCCTCAATGTATGTATTCCCTGTAGGATCATGATGCAATTTTTTTCCTTCATCCTCCTTGCTATGAAAATGGTACTTGGAGGAAACCATTGCTGTTTCAGCCAAACTCAAAAGAGGAAGAAGTTAAGGACCATGGAAACAGGGCTGGATTTGAAGTCAGAAGATGTGGATTTAAATAGTTCTTCTGTGGTCTTGTGCAAGCCTCTTAACATCTCTGGGCCTTAGTTTCCCCAACTGGTTGAACTAGATGTCCATAAAGGTCCTTTCTATCTCTAAATCTATGATCTCCAAATTGCAGAGAGGTCACTCTGCCATGGGCCTTTTCCACCTTCTTTTCTCAATGTTTTCTTAGATAACAACCCAGATTATAGAACCTTTATAGTGAAAGAGATCTTAGAAGCAGCCAAAGGAGGAGAGGTGGGGTGCATGGGAAATGCAAAGAAGCCAGAGAGCTGTGTGTGTCAATAGATAGGTGGCTTGCCCTTTTTGTGGTCCTACAGAGTTGAGGGAAACAAGTTTCCAATGATAGGCACTAATGATGGACCTCTAAAAGATCCTGGACTTTCCTACATGGCCCAGATGCCTGGCATTCACCTGAGGCATTGGCCCATCTCAGTCAATAATCCTTTTAACTGCCCTTTCACTGTGGCTCTCCAGCCACTTGACTCCTTCCATTGTCTGCACCTGGCCCCACCCCAGGCTACTTGCCACTTCCCTATTAAATAGCTCAGATTCTTAAAATCTGTCCCTCTTCTATTGGCAACACAATAAACCCTGTCTTGGACTGAAAGAAGGCTTGAGTGGTTGAATTCTTTCGAGGCAGAACTGCACCACTTAACCTGCATTTCGGGGTTCCCAAGCCCCCTAGACTGCAACATTATGGTTCCCTGACTAGGAAACTGCCTGATCTCAAACCCTTCTCCAGAAGGTATGTAAGCCCTTTAATCTTGCATTTCAGAGTTCCTAAGACCCCTAGACCACAACACCCCCAGGTCCCAGGAATATGGTAAGAATCTTCAGCTAAATAATATCAGGGCTACTCAGGCTCTGAGGTGGGAACAAAAAAAAATGCCCCCCTTTTTTAATTAAAAATTTTTTGGTGTTATCTAAATTTGACAAACATCAAAAAATGGACATTTCCGTATGCCAAGAACAGAAAAAAATTGCAGATAAGACCACAAATCTATTATGTGCAGTTTGCATTTTTAAAAATTCACGAGTTTTAAAGCTGTCCTGCTTGTCTGTCTTCTATTCTGAGCATGTAAAAAAAAAGTGCTATGATGACCCTCTTTTTCTTTTCTTCTTTTGGGTATCACTGTCAATAGTTCTCTTCTTCCTCCAAACACCTTTTATCCCCCTCCCCCCAATTAAAATAGACAAAACGTACCGCACTCACATTTTCAAACTACCCTTCTGGATCGATGACAAAGTAAGAAGACAAAGCATGGGGAAACACTTCAGGTATTCCAGTATCTGGAATTCCCTTGTGTGTGGGGGGGGGGGTTGTGAACCAAATTATTTCTGAGGCTCCTTCTGGCAAGTCATGAAAATTCTATTGAACTTTAGCTGTAAGCTAACACCAACCCAAGTATCTCCAGTATTTTTGTTTTGTTTTATTTTTTGTTTTTGGAGAGGCAATTGGGGTTAAGTGATTTGCCCAGAGTCACACAGCTAGTAAGTCTTATGTGTCTGAGGCTGGATTTGGAGTCTTCCTGACTCCAGGGCCGGTGCTCTATCCACTGTGCCACCTAAAGTATCTCCAGTCTTGCAAGTTGTCTCCTCCTTAGTGCATGACTGCTATTAGTAGTCGGGGGGAAAGTCTTGGCTAAGCCTGTTCTCCCAGAAGATAGGACAGGGGAGTTTCAGAGAGCAAGGCTCAGAAGCAGAACCTGGGAATTCTAGGATCTGGGACACATTTGGTTAAGTGGTGGTGGGGTGTTGGAGGAGACAGAGAACCTGCCATAGCCATTGATGTCTGGGGTAGAATATAGGTACCCAGACCAGTCTGCCTGGGTGTATGTTGGGGGGAGGGGGAGAAGGAAGTAAAGGTAGCATCTATCTCCTCCCTCCCCATCATGTGCATCTGTGGACAAAGCTCAACTATGGGGGTTGGGGGAAAAGTGGAAAACTGCTTTCAAGAATTTTCTTCCTATGGCACCCAAGTCTGATCTTCCAAATTGATAAGCACTCCACTAGGGCAAGAATTTTCATTTCTATTGACTTCTATACCCACTACTTCTACTCTCACTCCAATCTTACTCAGCTGAGAAAAGATCTACTTGCTCAAATGTTGTTCTCAGAAAAGAATGAAAACATTTAAGAAATCTTCAAATTGCCTCTGCCTCCACCTCCACCATGCTGCCCAAGAGGAGCCATGGAGTGCCTCTCCCCTCTTAGAGTTTCAGTTCTTTCTTCTGTTCTGCTCTTCCTTCCTTTATCCTGTGCAGACACAAGTCATAACTCCTAATAGCATTGAAACAGACCAGGTAACAATTGGTTAGAGTTGTTTGATGGCACCATGTTTTTCTCATCCCTGTTGTGTGTAATCAGATGTCAAGGTCACCTGTGCATTATGTAATCCAATTCAGTCCTTACCTTCCCACAGGATTCCCTTATCTGTATACCTCCTGGACCTTGCAAGAGATGTTTAATTTATCCCAGTCACAGAACTAGCATTTCAGGATTTCTCCACGCAATTGACATCCACTGGGTCCAGGTCACAGGCAGGTTTGCTACCACCCTTTTCAGAGATGCAATGGCTTTCTTAAAGGGTAAGTACATTCGGTCTAAACAGTGGGTGCTCAATTTTAAGGATAATACCCTATATATCATATGGAGACCATTGACAGGGATACTTAACTTGAAGAGAAAACTCAGAGTGGAAATAATTCAAGTATTTGGAGGGTTGTCAACATACAAGGGGCATTAGACTTGTTTTGTTTGGTTTTGGAAGGTGGAACCAAAAGCAATGGATAAAAGATGCAAAAAAGACCAGTTTTGGCTTTGAGTGGGGGAGGGGAAATCTGTCAACCAACAATATCCAAAAGCAGAATGTTCAACTGCTTTGAGAACTAGTGGGTTGTCCATGCTTGAAGGTCTTCCAGCCGAGCCTAGATGACCATTTGTCAGGTTATGTTGTAGAAGGGCTTTTTCGTCTGGGTTACAGTTGGACTTGGGGTCCTTTCAACACAGATTTTATTGCTACGTTGAAACTAAGATGAAGAATCTGAATAGTACAAAGCTTCAGTTGCATATGTAGGAGCACGGTCTAGTGTGTATATGATATATAAGAAGATTGAGGTTCAAGCCTCAGGTGTGTGATTTATTAGCTAAAGGACCTGCGACAAATCACAGTTTTCATGAGCCTCATCTGTATAATGGGAATGATAGTACCTGCACAGCCTACTTCAAAGGGCAATTGTGAAGAGAGCTTTAGAAATATGAATAAGTGAGTAAACGCTGGCATATAAGACCACATCACATATTTGTTATCAGCCAAAAAAGCTGCTTTATTGAAAGCAAAGAATTCTGGGTACCACAGGGTGACCATGGTATTAACAATAAGGTTTAAATTCCCTGAGAACTTTTTTTTCCCTTTTTTTCCTATCTATGTTTTTGTAAAAAAAAACAAAACAATAAAGAACAACAATTCAACAAAACCAATACATACATACAAACAGAAAAGGGACTAAGTAGGAAAAAGAACAGATAGATTCCAGATACTGGAACATATAAATAAGTGGAGAGTTATATGATATTCCAATTTCATTTTAAAAACAAGATTATCAGAAGTTTGGTTTCTGTTTTTTTCTGATCCACAGAAAAGGTAAAATACACACAACAACAACAAAAAACTACTTTTCTTTCTTTTTCTTTTTTTTTTTCTTTTAAAAGATAACAGTAAAAAAAATACTGTTCAAATACAATATTTACAGACGCACCCAGTATGGGCCAATTCACTCAACCTCAGATAGGGAATATTCAGCTTTGACTCTGCCCGTTTATGGAAGGAGACAAAGCAAAGAATCTGGGCTCAGCCACCCAGGAACACTCAGATATTAACCTGAGGACCCCAAATGCAGGGTCAAAGATGAAGGTCCCCATCCCAGGAGCTGCATTAGGAGTAGCAATCCCTGCTCACCCCCAGCCCCAGGATGTGGTCAGGTGCCCTTGAATAGTGGAGGGCCCCAATGGCTCCTCACAGTTCGGGATGGGGACAAGGACTGGAGCCACAGCCAAGAGGGCCCCTATTCTGGACTGCTGACCTTGTCCTTTCCCTGGACCTAAGTACTGCTCAGCTCACCTTGAACCGTGAATTCAAAAGCCATTTGTTGCTTGATGGTAACGATAAGGAAGTTACAGGGCATTTCTATCCCCTTCCCATTAAGAAAAGTTTCCCAAAGGTATAACTGGGCAGATGCCTGGTCCTGAAGGGAGATACTGAACCCTAAGACAGAATAATTGACATGCATCCTGGCATATGCCCATCTGTCTCTCTCCGTCCTAACGCTAACACCCCATAGAACAATAACAAAATACCATTATACATTTCTCTATTTCTCTACAATTAACCGCTGACAGTTAATTGCATATAAATACTGCATAGCTACCTGGGACTGAAAATAGTTCAGTCAATAATAGTAAGCCCCAGTGGATGGAGCAAATGATTCTGGACCTTCCTCTTCCTCTGCCCCCCCCCCCCCC